TGTGTTAGATCTGCATCACAGGCTGCTACTCACTCCCGAGACCAGTTAGTATGGCTTAGTGCCAATCATTAAACCAAATGTTAAACTAAAATTTGAACAATATTGAGAGAAAAAAACCTGCAACACAACATCAAAAAATCAAAACAAAAAAACTCTTCAAAAGCTCTTTACAGAGAATATATATGTCAACATCTAGGTGAGCTGAGAAAGATGCACTCTCAACTGAGGCAACGGCACCCAACATGCTCGCATCACATCAGCAGCGCTCATCACATAAATCCAAACTTAGGCTGTTGTAGAAAAGTTCAAAGTGCTTCCACTTCAAAAGTGGATTTCACCAAGTCAGAAAGGGGAAAATTGTCTTTTCTCTTGGTTGTCATTCCAGGACTCTGTTTAATTGAGGATTTGCAGAGAACTGTTTTCCCATCACTGTGGCAGCTGGAGTGTGACTCACTCCTCCTTCTCAGCTGGAGTTTTTCTTGCCCAACGGGGGATTTTTCCAGAAAGGTGTCTTCCAGAGATGAATAACTGCACCCAAGTAAAAACTGTGAGTTGCTTCCAATTAAAGCTACTTTATCTGAATTACTGAACCTGGAATTTGGTGAATCCTGAGGCTACGCGCAGGCTTTGCTGCCTTTATGATTCTATTCTCTGCAGTTTGAAAGTTTTGCATAAATGGCAAATAACCCTGAAGTTTCAAGGGTTAACACAAGCTTCTCCTGCAAGTAGAAGCAGTGCCACTGGAATGCACAATTTTTCTGAAGCTTTTGGTGTGATTTTTACTCTGTTTATGTAAATTAAGACACCAGCTGCTCCTTAATCCCCAGCTCTGGAGACTCTTCCTTAGGCCCTTTGGTGTGGTTGCTTCACGCCTGCAAGATGTACAGTTTCCAGCATTAAAAATACACTTTAAAAAGGAATATTAAATACACCTGCATGCTGGTTTCTGACCTAATAAAAATGCTACACTTGAGTGAAAAATCTTGCGTTCCCTGAAGTTACTGTGCAATAACTAAAGGTCTGTAAAGCACTACTACAAAAATGTGTAATAATACGTGAGAAGGAGCGGACCATTTGGTAGGAGGTCACCAGAAGCTGGAGCAGCCCGCGGGTGAAGGCTCTGAGGTTTCAGGGGCACTATGAGGTCTGTGCCTGCCTCTGCATCTCGGGGCTTGCCCTCCCACCATGTCTGCTCCCTGTGCTGGGGGGGGACACGATGAAGTCAGCAACCAAAGGGCAGCCAAAATAGCAAGAGTTATTTGAAAGTGAGCAGTGATGTTCAGTGTAAAACTAATGATGGTTTCCAAAAAAATCTTTCCTTACTGGTTTTTTTTTTTAATTATTTAATAGTTATAGGAAAAAAAACTATTTCTGCTCACTTTGGGTATTTGTTGACAGTAATTGCCTATTGCATTGTTTCCATTTATTGCATTTTTCACACATCAACAGGGAAAAAAACCACCCTGATTTAAATAAAGTAACTATTTTTATGCAGTTTTAAGTGGCCAAATGACTGAGACCAGAAAAAAGCCTTTGAATAGTATTTTTAAAGCTGACTTTCTTAGTGATTGGAAGTTTGTATCCTATAAGAATAAAAACAGGAAAAAAAATGTCAGACAGCAATAGATTGCAAGGGTTTGTATTCTTCCATTGGTATTATTCAGAGTCTGTATGTTGTTAAACATGCAGTTTAATGTTGTGGGTTTTATCTGGTGTGCATTTAAAAACATTTCATGACAGAACAATGAACATGGATAACAATTGTTATGGATGTAACAGCAATTGATTTTAAGAAGCCAAGGACCATAAAAATTAATAGAAAAATCTAACTTTAGGTGATGTTGGATTCGGTCCCAGCAGGCAAAATGTTATTGTATTCACTAGGGAACACAGCAGGAATTGAGGTCAAAATGTAATCACCCAGAATGTAGCTCTTCAGGGTGGATTATTTTATTCTCCCTCTGAACTGAAACATCTCTTAATGGTAATAAATCTCCTTATCCTGTGCTGGGACTGCAGTTGCAATAATATACCAGAATAAAGATTCTTAACAGCCTACACACTTTCTCATATGACTGTTTAAAATATTCTGTGTTTTCTCCTCAACATGATGGCATAAATTTATTTTCAGTTAGAGGTAAAATGACCAATTGGAAACAGTGGTAGGTGACAAGTGCTAAACCAAGGGTTTACTTTGGCGGTTCTATATTTCTCATCCTTAAAGCATCCCCATTCTGCCATCTCCTACAGTCTGATAACAGTTCTTTTGGGGTTTAGTTAGAATTCTTCATTCTTTTCCTCTGATTTTACAGGGACTGGCATGGTCTATTTTATAATTGCAGATAGTTGGATGCTGACCAGCAGAGGATGAAATGGTGCACAAGCCCACCACCAACTTCTGTCTCAGACAAACTCTGACTAGCTCACCCATCTGTGAAGCCAGGCTGGCTACCTCATGGGGCAGTGAGTAGTTTTGTGCTTCTGTCCTCTCTTGTGATTGGTGCATCTTATTGCTACATTCTAAAGGAGTTAATTTCTTTGTACAGAAGTCTCCCCGCAGAAGAAGCAAAATCTGTGTTTTGGTGAAGTCACTGGAAATGCCTTACTCTGTAACTAACAAAGCTAATGATAAGTTTTGTTTGTTTCATTTTGTTTCATTTCATTTCTTGGATTTTTCATGGGATATATCAGTGCACCAAACATGACAGCCTTTTTCAAATACAGCATAAGGTCATATTAGTGTCAGAAATGTCTGTTAGCAGAAGTAATTAACACTGTCAAAATTTTTTTAGAAAAGCAGGCTGAGAACTGTTTAAGATGCTTTTGATGCTACCCATCATATACAAAGACTAGGTAATATCAGAATGACAGGAAATCTTTATCTTTGTTCTCAGAATTTATTCACTATTTGATGAATTGTCAGCTGCCACATTCTGTATATTTATATATATGTATGTTTTTTTAAGCAATAGAATTTCTGCTTAAGTGAAAGGGGGACACATATATATTCATCTCAGGCTTAGTAGAAAATACAGTTGATTCACTTGTGGAGAAAAAAAAAAAAGCCCATTGAGACTGAAACTTAACACTCAGGAAATATCATTTGCCATCATCTGCAACAGAAACAACAAAAAACTGCACAGAAAGCTCTCAATCCCAGGAATCCAAGGATAAAAAACCAGCTTTCATTTTATGCTTTGAAAAATAATCAAACAAAAAATACTAATGCTGTATATCCAGGTTTCACATCACAAAATATAGTCTGTAATGTATACAAATGCTACTGCAAGGAAGGTGATAAATGCCATTTTAACCTTGGAGATCTTGATCCAGGCTATTAGCTTGAAGAACTCGAAACCTGAAGTTGTATGGTTGACAGTCCAGTGTGTGTGTGAGCAGCCCTCTCCTTTAGCTCTTTAAGAACGAACTGCCTGCAAAACCAAGGTCTCTGGTTATTTCTGATCAACCTAAATTCAGTCAACCAACAGTTTAAAATTATCCTAGCAAGGTTTGCTTCAGATTATCTGTTTAAATTCTTGCCTGTCTGATGCATCAGATTATTCTGGTAAGCCTTGAAGCACTCGCACACATCATACACCCAGATCATTACTTTTTAAAAAAATCTCTTTCATGTAAATAAAGAAATACTGCCATTTTTAACTTTGGATTGTTGAAAATGGTTTATATTATTTCAAAAAGGCAGGGTCTTCACACATTATTTCAAGTAAGAGGAATTGAATCCAACCAGAAAAATAAAAGCATAATATTTTTAATTGATAGCAGAATCAATATGTTAGGATAGCTGTGTTAGAACAGCTGATAAGCCTTTTTTGAGCAGCTAAGCTACTTTATCGGCATTTTATGATTCCTGTAGATCACACACATAATTAAAAAAAATCTGTCAGAGACCAGTGCCTCTTGTTATGAACACATAATGAAACAAAAAACTTATGCAGTCACAATAACTAAATTAAAAAAATAAATCCTCGTAAAATAACTTGTGATGATACTGTAATGGGTGCTCTGAAGCCCATAGATGTAATTAAACTTTCAGGTTCTTAGAAAACTATGGACATGGTTGCAGGCTAAATTTTGGAAAATGAAGAAAAATCTGTGATATTCCTTCTGAAACTGAAGAGAATAATTGAGAATATGACTCACCACTGCTTTATGTCAGTATAAATATAATTTATTTTCTTGGAACTACATTAGCATAAAACAGACGTAGTATGTTGTAGTGAATCAGGCAGAAGTTTATGGTACAATTATGCTATTTCTACTAAAACAAATGATTGCAGCAGATATTCCTTCTTTCCATTAATTTACAATTGGCTGATACCTTTATTGAAAAAGTTTTACTGTTCTTTTTGCCTTTCCTAAACAAATGAACTTCTGTAAAGCAATGGTGTGCTCAAGAAACATCTGTTCTAGACTTCAGTACAAAAAGAATTTTTACTTGAGAAATTGCTATGTATCAGTATATGGGGCTGTAGAGTTAAAAAAAAACAAAAACAAAACCTCCAAAACCAACAGATTACCTTAATTCATTACAATAGAAAAGAATCTTATTTTTTCTCTATCTTTTGTTGATTCTTTCATTTCATAACATATGTAAAGATTTGTTAGGAGATAACTGGTTTTACATAGTTTCTTTGTCCTTCTTAATCCCCCTTTCCAAGGTCATAGAGTGGGGAGAGCTTAATCCATTATTGATTTAAAACTTTACTAGCAAATATTTTTTTGTTTTCCATTTTGAAAATCTTTAAGCAATGTACTTCAGTTTGTTCTGAAGTATGCTCCTTCTGAGGGGCAGTTTGAATGGCTGGGTTGGTACCTCTTAGAACATTTTAAAAAGTCAAAGATCAAAAAGAGGAAAAGAAAAGAAGTGACGATGTTTTTGTGCCTAGGTAGTTATCTGGAAATCTGAATACAAACCTTTCTGTGTAAAGGACCACTAAGTCAGCAGGATCTTTGTGGAGGAACTACTGCTGCTTTCCCAGATGCCACCATACCAAGGTATGAGCTCGGTGTCCTTGGCTGCATCTCCTCAGAACACAGGTAATTAAGCAGAGCAAGGTAACTCTTTAAAAAGACAGATCTCAAATCTGATAGGTGTAGCAGACTAAATAAAAGAGTTTGAAAATAAGTTTTCCCCCGAACCCTACAGCATCACGGGAGCAGGCCTGTCTCCCAGTTCTGCTGCTAGTCCTCTCCACACCATCTGGGTGAGCAGCCCCCTGCAGCCACCTCTGTGCCTGGAAAGGCAGCCTGACACTGAGCCTGTGAGTCTTGTCTGCTTTGGGATCCCATCTCATCTTCTCCCGACTACTCCAACCAGTGCCTGCATGGCGAGCACATGGCTTCCTGCCCCATCTGCATCTCCATGCTTGACTGTACCCAGCTCATCTCAGCAGCGGGCAGGGGAGAGGCTGGTCTCTGCTGGGACAGACAACCCAGCACCACCAACAGTTTCCATCTCTGTTGCCCAATGGCATGTTCCCCCACTGCCTTTTTTTTTTTTTTTTTTTTTTAATAAAAACCAGTGCTCTCATTTTGCCATGAACTTGGGGAAGGAAAAAATATACGACTTGGCCAAATACGGTGTTGCTTTTGCTTTGGTTCCATAGAGGTGGTTTTAACTGTGGGTTATTTTAGGGAAGGAGAGGGTGGCCTGGCTCAGACTCTGTTGAAACACGGTTCCAGTGTCCACAACTCTCCCTAGAAGAGATTGTCTTGTCTGCTTTGGGATCCCATCTCATCTTCTCCCGACTACTCCAACCAGTGCCTGCATGGCGAGCACATGGCTTCCTGCCCCATCTGCATCTCCATGCTTGACTGTACCCAGCTCATCTCAGCAGCGGGCAGGGGAGAGGCTGGTCTCTGCTGGGACAGACAACCCAGCACCACCAACAGTTTCCATCTCTGTTGCCCAATGGCATGTTCCCCCACTGCCTTTTTTTTTTTTTTTTTTTTTAAATAATAGAAAAACCAATATGCAGAGCTCATCAAACCACAAATAGCTAACAAAGAAGTAACGTGATTTTCTGCTTATGTGCATCATCACTATTTACTTGAAGATATTTGGGTTTGCCATTTGGTGTTTGGGTAGCTTCCTTTGGCTTTGGATTTCTCTGGGTTTTTTGTGTGTAGGAGGAAGATTTGAGATAGCATTGACTACTTGAGTGGATCTTGTAGGAAGGAGATGTGCATTATCAAAAAATGATTAACTGTCACTTTGCTGTTTACCAAGCTTTTTCCCAATAAAGGGGCACAAAAAGTGCTAAAGAAAAAGAAGATGCATGAGATAACTTCCTTTGCTAAAAAGCTAGACTGTGTCAGGTCCTGGATGCATCAACAGAAGAGGTTAAAGAAGCCATACACGAAAGATGCATTGTTTGCTCTCTCTAGCTTTCTCCCTGGATTTCGAAGGTCATTTTAAAACTCATAAGCTTCTTTGTCATATAAAAGTTACAGATCTTTCTTGGAGACACAGCTGAGCTGACAACATCTTATAATTAAGGATAACCTCAACCTTAAGTGAACCGCCTCTGCAGGAAGTTTTCACATCATGCTGTATTTGAGGGTATTGTTTAGGAAACAGCTCTGTAAGCCCCTGACAGCAAAAGAAAAAGTCCAGCAACATTCATTTCCTTAAACTGACTTTTAACAGGTTCTTTTTTTAGCAACATGATGGACATAAAAAGTAGAGTTGAACCAGGAAAAGGATAATTCAGAAAAAATGATAGGTATATGAGAATGGCTGTGCTCTGAAACAAAAAGGTCCATTTCCATCCCAATAATGGATTTGTGTAAGAATCTTGAAGCCTTTCTGCTTTCCTTTTTCTTTCATTAAAATGAAACTTTCAGGATTCTGCAAATAATATCACTTTTTGAAAGCTAATAAAATCAGAGACTTCAACAGGAAGACAAGAACTAAACTGAAAGAAATAAGTGTAGTCAACTGAAGAGTATTAGTACATTAAATTCTTTGAGACTCAAATGTAATTTGCTACTTTCTTTTGTGAATTAGTTTCTTTCAAATTCTTTCAAATGCTGTCCTCCATGTTATTACTGGATAAAAATGCATAGTGTAATTATTAACAAAATGTGAACCGAAATCCAGTACTATATTCCTGTTATAAAAGTAGAGGAATTTATAACATGTTTTTAAGGACATTTTTGGCACCTTATTGACCTAATCAGTGGCAGACATTTATAATCAAGATCACAGAACAGAATAAGTTTAGATACAAGAAAAAGGCAAGGCGATAGCTTTTATCATTAAGCAATCATGTAAATTAAAGCATAAACAAAATACATTAACTGGATATTTTCTTGGAATTATTTGTTGAGGTTTTCTCTCCTTTTAAGTAGGTTATCTTGGTTTTTTTCATTGTCTTCATAATTGTCTTCGGTTCACTTCTTCATCATATTTTCCACTTTTGTTTTATTCAAATGGACAGAGTATTTTGATTGGCTGCTTTAAGGGTTTCCCCCTCGCATGCAGGCACACAAACTTCACTAAAGTTCAGCAAGTTGTCACAGGGTCATTCTCATGCTATGAATATGTCAAAGGAATGCTACTTACACAGTGAACTTAAAAGATACCACAAACCTTATCTCCTACCAACACACCTTTTGCTTGAGAGTCGGCAGTAGCAGGGCTTTATGGTGTTCAACGTTTGTTCAGCAGTGATGTTTCTTCGACTTTCTTAATCAGATCTTTAAACCATTAGTACATCTCACATTAGCATATTCTGTCACTAAACATAGCTTTTCCATGTTCAGATGGTATCCATTACTCATGAGTTATCTCGCTGAGAAAAGCTGTGAAAATACCCTTCCTGAATCTCAAACACTTAGTGTTACCTCGCCTTCATATTACAGCTGTGGTTTTTATCACCAACAGTTCTTCAGCTTCCTGACCCATTTAGGCATTCGGTGTTATGTTAGGATGAATATGCAGTTAGTGGTCCAGTTCCAAAAATGAAAATAATTTTCCAGTTCCAGAAATGTAGAAAGATATTCCTTTACCTAAAGATCCTGAATACATATCCTCTTGCAAAGACTGATTTAATTTTGGGTCAAGCATTTCATTATAGAACCGTAATTTATGTAACATAACCTCTTAGAGGCAAGTATGTTTAACAATTAAAAATTATCAAGGACTTGAGTATGTAGATTGTATTTTCTTTACTTTTCTACATCTGGGAAAGCCTTTTAGAATAACTTTTTTTTTTCTTCTCTGGATCATCTTTACAGCTATATCCCCAAAATATGATTGTATTTAATTCACAACTTTTTGCTTTCTCCTTGAAGGAATATCTGGCTCTAAATTAACTTTTCCTCTGAAATTTATGAATACATACTGAAGAATCCTATCCGTTACTAAATCAGGTATGCCTATAAATGAAGTCAATTTGGGGGGGTGGTTATTTGTTCAATTAGATTAGATGCAGAATATGAAAAAGCAAACAGAATTATTGTGCCTTTGTCGACTGTCCCACTCAGCCATCCTGCTTAAAGAAAAAAAGAATGGTGACTGGAAAAAGGTATTTTCCTTGAGGGTAGCGTACTGGCAGTGGGGAGGGGACCCTCATCCATATAGAAATAAGGAGTTATATCACTTGTTACTGAACTATTTTAGGTTGGTTAACTTGGTTTCTACAGGGTTAGAGCTAACCTTCACGGAAGCTCACATCAAGTGCAAAATAGCTAAAACTTCCCTCCTTCCAGCCCAGTTGCTTCATTATGTTCACTGGAGTTTCACTGAAACTAAACAACCTTTTTACTCTCATCATTTTCCAATTGGTTGTGTTTGTAGGTAAAGTAGTGGTATATGGAATGGTCTTTTTAGCTGTCTTCTGCTTCATTGCACTGCTACAGCCAAGGCCTTTTCTTTCTGGTGGTAGCAGCAGCCGGCACATAGATTTCTCTCTCTTTCTGCACTATTGCTACAGGCCTATCTGTTAAATCTTAAATACTAATGAATCATTAAAAAGGGTATTAACATACTGCGCTGGCCCTATATGTATGTCTTATTCTTCACAGTTTTATAGCAAATTCCATTAAAAAACCTCATTAGAGAGATTATTGCAACATGCTTTGAAACAGCAGCATTCATTACATATTATCTATATATTGAAGTTTGGGAAATTAATGCACCAGGAAATGAAATGACTCACCCGGGGTCACTGAAGATGTATGTTCAAGCCGTGATTAAAATCCAAGCTGTAGATCTCCATTCTGTTTACTGCACAATCTTTTTAGCTCTTTCTCTTTCTTTCTAGTTTTTTTTTTCTTTTAAACCACATCCTACAGTTGTACTTTCAGCCGGAAAACTCCATTGTGCTGCTTTTTTTGCCAAATTGTAATTGGCATTTAGCCAACAAACAGCTTGTTTGTCTTTGTGAGCCTTCCCTTCCTTTGCTTTGGGGGTTCAGAGGCTGGAGAGAAAGTGCTATTACTGTCAAAAAAGAGCCAGACTGCGGGGAACTGTGGGCAGATAACCAGAGAGGCAGAACTGCTCAAGTGATGGAGTGACCATGAAATGTGCTTCTTCTGTGGGTCTCTTTATCCACAGATGACCAGAGATATGTAGATTTTCCAGCCTTTCAGTACTGGGGAGGCAGGGAGGTTAGAGGTCAGGGAGGTATGAGGAGAGGTTGGAAGGGAGGGGGGTGCAGGACGGACATTCCCTACACTGCCTGCTCTGATGAGTCCACTGCCCAGGAGGGCAGGGTGGAGATGGTGTGTATTTCTCTTTTTATAGGTTACATCTTCTGTAAAAATATGATACTTTAAGTGTGTACCTGCTCCCAAATTACACCAGTAGAGTCACCTTGCACAGTGCCTACAGCTTTCTGATTTGTGACTTGCAGGTGTGTTGCCCAGATGTCTAGAGGGCACTTATACTGGTGTCTGGAGGGTACTTGTATTGCAGGCTTTAGAGGGAGACCCCATAATGCTCTGCTTACAGGCTCCTTTTTTAGCGGGTATGAGAAGAGACCCTGTTCTTGTGACTAGCTGACCAAGAATCCCTGACGTTTGTATTAACTGTATATTATATCATTGATACTTAGTCATCATGTGAGGTCGGACATCAGTTTCTTAACTGCTGTTTTTCTTTCAATGCCAGATGGAGAAAAACGAGCATCAAATTCAGAGCAATAAAACTGAAATTTATATTTACAAATGGATGAGTAAAGAATAATTTTAATTTAATGGAATTTTTCTTCAATTTGGAGACTTCCTGAGTACTTTATCTTAGCTTTAAATAAATAAAACAGATGTGTAAAAAAAAAAATCATTTGTAATAGCAAAAAAAAATTGCATATGTTTATCTTTTTCGTTCCACTTTACATTTTGTGGAACACCACTCATCTGAAAACTACTATATACATATGTAGTATGACAAAAAAAATAATATTTCAGGCTAGAGAGATACTTTGTCTTTTTGCCTCATTTGTAACTGAAATTTGAGAACAGCTAGCCACGGAGGCTCAAGATTTAAATGCAGGACCATATAGACCCTGTGTAGCTGGTTTAAAGGCCCCAGTGCTGCACAGCATGTAACTGGACCTCTTCAACTCGCAAGATCCCTTTTTTTTCCAAAACAAAATCTGCAGTTTAGATTCTGAAACTTCCGATTTCCTGCTTTTCTTATCAGCAATACTTCAGTTTCCTGAGACAAGCTTAATGCAAGTTCATCTTTTGATCTGTTTGAAAAGATAACTTTGTAATGCATATAAAACAAGATTCAATCTTCAACTCAATTCTCTTCTATTTAGATTTTTACACTCAGCATCAGATGGACTACTATCTAGGTGTACTTTGTGAATCCAGACAAGGTAGAGTAGAAATAAGTGCAACCATAACATTGGAGAATTACAGATATAACTAGGAAGTGGCAAAATGGAATCACTGAAAACATTCAAAATGTATATATGCCTGGTACAATGCAGATAAATATAAACAGATTTCAGTTTATGCACAAGTTGTTGCACTGTGGGAGAAGTCTTAAACAGATTTAATGCTAAATTCTGCTCAAGCTTGTGCAGGCTATTACTCACCTAAAATATAATCTCTGTTGTCAGCTTCAGTTCAAATTACATTTGTTTACTCATTTGAGAATTTTAGCCAGTCAATTCAAGCTTAGTTTTGACTTCAAGTCAATCATGTTGTTCCAATTCTAAGCAGCTCTATAAAACTGCAGCCTGCTGAGGTGCAAAAATGCTTGCAGTTGTTGTCCTGAAAAAAATCCATTAAAAATGTAAGAGTGTGGCTTGTTTTGACAAATTTCAACATGAGCCACGTATACTCAAGATTCTTACACCTTTGAACACGAATTTTTGAGCTGCATAATTTTGATCCCAAAATACTTGCTCATGACGTTATCACAAATAAATTCTCAGACCTTAAGACATTGCTTTCTATAACTAGTCACAGAATTATGACTACTAATATATAGGAACTGTCTTACCTTCTCTTTACATTTTATACTCCCTGAATCATAGGTAAATGTTGAACTGTAGTATCAGAAAAATGGAAAAATTCTGTTGATTTTGGATACACGACATAGAATACTTCTCTTTGCTTCTGCTGATGAAACCTAAAGATCCCTGCTTCACCAGTTATCATAGTATTTGTGCATTTTGCTAGAGATTCATTAGTAATGCAAACTACTCTGACGTGGATTTTGATAGGAATTAAGTCCCTCTCTGATGCAACTGCACTGAGACCTCAAACTTCATGTTTCTTAGAATGTGAAAGTAAAAAGCTTATTACGTTTTTCATATTTCAAAAGTAAAAGCATCCTGTGAGAAGTGCGCAGAGAATGAATAAAATGACGTTGCACTGCTGTCACTGATTCCAGTGTTCTTCGAGGTGGACCATGCAGGTCTCTTCATTGCTGTTCTCTAGTTTTGTAGAAGTAAGGTTGCTTTCTTATTCCTAGCTGACATATTTCTTTTTTTTGTTATTGCATCATGACAGATATAATCACAATTCACAAGTGCATTACTGTGTGGTTCGGATAAATTTTAATTATTTGATGATATCCTCAAGTTAAAAGCAATAATAATGTCTAGGGTTTAGGGTTTTTTTAGCGAACTTTTTCTTCAGTGCTTTTCTTGCAATGTTGCCAAAGTTGTTTCTGAGTTTTTCTGGAATTTCAGGTTTTCAGTTATATTAATTCTGAAACTGAACTTCTGTGTGTGTTTTAGTCAATGTGGAAGGAAAGTTTGTGGATTCAACTGTCAAACTTACTGAGAAGGTGAAACTGGAATGCATATATCCAAAACATGCTGTGATAATCCAACATCCTGGATGAAATTTAATGTAACTCATAAAGAAAATTTATCTGTCTTGCATTCAATCTATGGCATACATATAGAAGATAAATACAATGGAAGAATTTATTTTGAAAACACTTTCAGGAAAGACAAGTCCTTATCCTTCATAAAGAGCACTTTGTAGGATGTTGGTCTTTACTTTTGCTCTATTGTAACTTACCCAGATGGAGTTTGGTAAAAAGTAATAGAAATTATTCAGCCAGGTAAGTAAATCTCTCATTGTTTTTTAAATTTCTTATATGCTAAACAGAAATCCATGCCAATTGAGGGAGTATCTGGCATTGTAATTTTTCTTTTCAATTATATAGCATGCAGAAATGGAGTAATCTGGGGGAAAGAACTAGCACAACAGAAAAGAAATATATTATCTTGACGAAAGGTTGTTTTAAGAGAAGCGGGAAGCAAGGAGAAGAACTGGAGGAGACGGACAGATGTCACAGCAGCAATGTATGACATGGCAGACTTCAGGTACTTATGGTCATTGTAATAGTGATATTTGCATTGGGACAAGATTTTCATAGCATTTCAACAAGCTATAGGGTATCTGCAGAACATGAAATCACAACTACCCATGAAATTACATGGATGAACCTTCATGGTTCATAGTTGTGGATGACTATCTATGGAGGATACTATATTTTTATTACTATGTTCTAGGGTGAGAATATTCCTAGTCTGAAACTATGATTTTGTTGTTGCTGTTTTGTTTTGGGTTTGTTTATATTTTCTAGAATCTCTTCTGTGCTTGCTTTTCAGGAACAAAATAATCTTTAGGAATTCTGTGCAACAAAAAGGAGGGAAGTAGGAAAGTTTAAATGAAGAAAAAAACCTTTTCTTTAAAAGGAGAATTTTTTAAAGATAAAAAGGGAAGAAAGAAAGTGAAAAATCAAGTTATGCCCATGTAGTTTCTGTGTAGCTGCCCATGTACTTTTCAAAGGTTCTCTAATTACCTGACCATTCATCCAATCGGGTTTCTTTCCAGCTGTATGACTAGGAGGAGAAAAACCTTTTCTATTATGTTTCCATGCATGGTTTACTGGCAACTCTGATGCAAATTACCAAACTTCTCTGATAGAATTCCTTAGAAGATCATTATGTACATATAACAGAATAGCCTTCAAAAGATAGTTTTGGTTATTGGTTTCTTGGTTTGATACTGTGCGTGTAGAAGTAATTTCCAATCCTCCAGAGTGAAAACAGACTTCATTCAATATTTTATTGTATTTCACAGCTAGGAAAGAATGGGTTGAAAGGAAAATTTAGTTCCTAGCATTTGAAAGACCAGTCTTAATTTCAGTCTTATTTTATCTATAATTCTGTAATTTCAATGTTACAGTGAAACAGTGGACCTGACTCTTGTAGGAGATATCTAAATTTCAAAAATTCAAGGTATATTGTTCCTGCTTTCATCACTGAAGGTTTTTGAAACTTGATTCTAGCCAGCATTTTCGTTGACGGAACTGAAGAAATAGGAATCCCAATCTGTCTTCCTATCTCTGCTAGCTTTTTATTAGCAAACTTTGCTGCTCATAAATGAAATTATGCCACACACAAGTTATTGCCCTGACTTTGAAAAAAGTTATTGTCTCCCGCAGATTGTTTAGTTAGATGAGATAGTTTGAACCTGAAATGATTTTCCCCATTGTGGCACATTGGCATAACTGTACATTTCACAGTCATTCACATGAAGAGGGAACTTCCTATTAGTGAAGGAGTTGAGCGGGGTCCCTTAGGGTGGGCTTTGTGGTCCATGTCAGAGTTCCTCAACTGTGATACTTTAATGGTATCTCTGAATGCTTGCTTTGCTCTGGTGTCTTTTTTATTATGTAAGGAATAATGTTACTGAATTACTAGCTCCCTAGCTTCTTTTTTTCTGGCAGTCCTTTTAATGCACATTATTAATGCAACTGTAGGCATTAGAAACATACCTTTTGCTTGCATTCAAATAAACTAAGATCAGGAAATGCAGGTTACTGTTTACAAAAAGGAACAGGCAAACTAGATCTCTTATGTGGTTTGGTTCAACCTGAGTTCTGGCAGTGCTGAGCCATTGCGTTTGTTTTCTATAAAATCATTAAAGTTAGAAGCAGTACAGATCTGCAAGCTTGTTTAGTCCTTTTCCTGGATGAAGCAGTACTATCTCAGCTATTTATTCCTGAATGTACTGGCTAGGGTTAATCTGAAATGATACAAGAAACAAGGCAGTCACTTTCTTGTGGGATGTTACCCTTCAGTCCAATACCTTTATTCGGTAATACACTTACAGAGTTCAGCATACTGTAAACCACACAAAAAGTGGATCAGTTGTCAGAGGTATGTTGTTTTAAATAATACTGTGGGACTCAGTATTCTCAGTATGTAAGATTTCTCTTTTGGTTTAAACATGCTAAAACACAAACCTAACAAACTAACCAACAAACCCCCCATTTTTCAAGTATATCAATTTAATCCTACTACAGAGGGACATAATAGTGTTGAATAGAAATTAATCATTTTCCATTTAAAGAATCAAGGTTTCTGAAAACAGGAGCAATCAGTCCTGTTCAGCTCCTGACAAATACATATAAACACGATCCTTATTTACACTGATCTGGAGAGAATACACAGTATCACCAGGGAAGATAAAATGTTACTACTGCAATCTGCACTGAAAATTAAACATTATTAAAACCTAAGTTTAGAGATGGTAATTATTTATGTAGCAGTTATAGAAGAGCTGTTATCACTCAGGCTTTATCTTACTTTACTAACACTTTCATAAGTACTAACTATTTTTAAGTCCCTGGATGACATCATACTTTGATTAAATCAACAGTAAACTTCCCATTCCCTTCAATACAGTCAGTATTTTTTCTTGCTGCTGATACTAGAAATACAATTTTTCTTCTTTGTTGTCCAACTGGTAAAATTAGGACACTGATGTTAATCTTTAAAGTTTTTTTTTATTCTGCACCAGGGAAAAAGCTTTGAGAAAGCTGAATGTTAGTCTCATAATTTCACTGGATATTGTTCTTGTTCTATGGGATTAATACACACAAATAGTTGAGGTCCTGGAAAATGAAGTGATTTTTAAGGAATCTAATATTCTCTGCCATTAAGAAATTTGGCCAACCTACTAGAAAGATCATTTTACAGTCAATTAAAACTTTTTTTTCAATTAAATTGTTTTCTTTGGTTGAGATTTAAGATTTATTGATTCCCAATAGACATTGCTTTTCTAAAAACATTAATTTAACTACACCACCCCAGACAAATAAACAACTTACTGCAAAATCCATTTCTTCTGTTTATGACAGTTAATCAACAAACTTTTAATAGACTAATGTGTGGCTGCTTTTTTTCTGATTTTTTTTTTTTTAAATGGACTTGCCTGGTGACTAATGTTTTGCAATTTGTTGCTTTAGTTTTAAAGATTATTTGGCTAAACTAAAGTTTTGTCTGCCTTTAAATGGATGCGACTTTGTTGTCACATGAAACCTTAGCTTGCTCTGGTAAATTGGCACAGATGAAGTTAAATTGATGTTATTAAGGTTTTTCTGTCAATCCAAACTGAAGCCTGGTTTATAATTTCATTTGTGCTACCAGGGCATTGAAAATTGTCAGGATTTATCTATACTGACCTATTGCTGTGGGACCAAGAGACATTTATGCAGCAACTTAAGCAGGTAAGCACGCCAGTGAGGATTTTGCTGCACATACTTCAATGAATGCTGGTGACAGAATATAGATATAGGATATATGATTGGCTTTCGGAATTTCCATTGAATAGAAGTAGTGGAAATAAATGGAAATAATGCCATATGGCATTATACTGATGATGGAGATTCTTAATTAAAGTATAAGGTGAAATGTTTTTCACATGGCAATCATATCTGCTGGCAGTTACATACATTTGGACAAAGTATCTTGGATTAACTTTTGCTGGCTTGCAAAACAATGAATGTTTTTGCACTCAAACAGTTCAAAGTTGCTCTAGTCAACTTTGAGGTCATAAATCTGATTCTGCTTTCCCATGTGCTTTGTATAATTTTTTAAATTTACAAACACAAAGTGAGTAAAATTTGTATGATTCAAGTTGTCAACATTTTTCATTTGCATAGTTTGAAGCCTGAGGTGCTGATGTTTAATGAGAATATATTTGAAGTAGTGTCTAACGGTTTCAGTAGTGTCACTAGATCCAGCACCTTAAGTCCTAACAAGACCCATGACACTACAGGATCAAGCAGTTAAAAAAGTTTGGGAACCATGACTTGATTTTTAAAACAAAAACACAGAAAGAGAAGAAAAAGGTCGAGTATTTGAAAAACATTAAGCATATTTCTTTTTATTAGTATTTTGACAACATCCCAATTTATTTCCCTTTAGAGCAAAGGAAGCCTTATAAATAAAAAGTCTGCTGTGGTTACACTCTTTCGTATGTGATTAAAGATACTATTGAGTGACTAAAAGATCACAACAGATTTGCGGTGTACGAGGTGGCAAAATAATACTGGAGAAACTCTGTTCAGGATGCTGCTCCTTTAGTCTCTGATTGCAGAACAGCAGTTCACCCTGCCATGGTCTAGGTGGGGTGAACCTGATTATTTTCAATCAGGGACAAAAGTTTAAAAAAAACAAAAGAAAACAAAACAGAAACCAAAAAAGATTAATCTTGGATAACAAATGGCTGAGCTGTCATAAGGATCTGAGATCCCAGGAGACAGAAGATGTTATAGCTCTCATTACAGTGGTCTTTTCTTGGTGTACTGTCCTCTTTGCATTAGTGTCAGATGAAAGACCCTAGAAGTGTTGGTAAATCATCACTTATATCAAATTTTTGATGTAATTATTGTAGTAATTGATTTTTTTTTTATTAGATGTGGTCTCAGCTTAGACATGGAGCTGTATCAGGATATATAATAAAAATGTTAGGACATATTTTGTTCTTTTTACCTTAAATTTTGGCTGAAGATTTCCTATGACATCTATGAAATAGGTGAGGGAGAACTCTTGCAGACTGTAAAATGTTATCCATGCTTTCTTTATTGGGCAGTTACTGAAACATACTGACAGAAAAGCAATAACACTAAGGATATTATATTGGAAACTTCACAAGTTATGTAGTTACAGGACATTTTAAAAGTGGATGCAGTGCTGAAATTCTGTACCATAATTGTGAAGAACTTGAGAGTATGTTCTGCCATTGTTACATACTAATATATTGGCAA